AAATGAGGTGCAGTGTCAACCTCATAATTGTTCCTTTTCCTCCGCCTTCTCTCCAGGGTATTTCCTGAGACCAAGGATCATATCCCGATTCCCTGGAACCTCCCTAATGTTGAGTACATAGTTGGCATTATGCTTTTGCTGGAGAGAACATATCTGTTTGCAGGAGAAGGAAAGACATATAGGATTTTATTCCATTTTTCAATGGCATTTTTTTCTGTCTGTTCTCAAAATAAACTTTGGCTATTTTTGCCTCTGGAGAATGGCATCATAAAGCTGTTTGGATCAATCCATGACAGTCGGCCATTTCATCTGCGTTGTGATTCAGAGGGTGGGCGGGAGGTCTGGCTCGCGTATTTGCAGCAGCTCCTGGGTGTTGGTTTTCTCATCTGGTTTTTCAATCCACTGGGCATCAAACCATATTTCCTAGGGAACCATCTTTCCCATCTGGGCTTCGAGCTTGGTGAAGAAGGCTGATCCTCGACAAGTGACAATTTGGGGCTTTGATAAAGATGCTGACCACGTTGTGTTGCTCTTCAAGCAGTGCCAGCTCCTTCCAGGTCCCTGAAGGCATCATGCTGTTCCATATGCAGTCCTTACCTTGTTTTGCCTCCTGGAGAAACTTTCACCCATGTTTCTACCTCCTTCTCATCCAGATGAGTCACATCTGTCTGCATCCTTGCAGACTGAAGCCCCTCCCCCACCTCTCATAACTTACCTTCTTCCCTGTCTGAACCCCTGCATTATTCAAACCTGCACAGATTTTTCCCATAACGTCTTTAAAACTTGATTATGCTTATTGGTCTCTCTGTTTCCCTTTATGGAGTATGTTTAGTTGAAAAATAATACTGTGGTTTTATTTCTTCATCCATATACCTAGTACCTTACCTGAAATAGGGAGGATGCATGGATTGTTACCAGGAAGGGAAACAGGCAAAGAAAACTTTTCAAAGTTATGAATGCAGGTATTCTTTCTTGCTAACACTCTGCAGGCCTTTTCTTTCCCTCCTATAATATGCCAGGGCTGTGTATTTCAGGGCATACAAAGTAATGCCAACAGGCCCAGTTTTTCCAAACTTTAGATCAGATGCCAAGAGGGGGACCTCTTGATTCATCAGAGAGCTCTTTTACTTCCTTAGGTTTGTTTTCCATTGATTATCAGGGTTAAAATCTAACTAGGAAGATAGTTGCGCTAAAAATGTAATAGAGAGTTAAACATTAGGTTGGTGTATGTTTTCTATGCACATAAGACAAATGTTGATTCATCTTTGGATTCATAGGTGTGACCTCTGCTCTGTGACTGAGAGTTGGATGTAAATAAAGCTTTTTGAGGGACAAAAAAATGGCAACTCCTAGAGGATTTTGTGTGATGTTGTTCATTATTTTTATTTCAAATTAGCTGTTCTGAAGAGTTCCAAATTTGGTGAGAATTGTAGGAAGGAAAAGTTATCAACATCAGTAAGCAAAGTACCCAGGGCCTGTCTCCTTTCTTCCTCACAGAAAACCTATGGTTAGACCCTCATCAGCTGTTCCACAGACAATAGCAGTCAGTCCTAGGTTGCTCCTAGTAAACCCGTGTTCCCACCTGTGAATGAATGGCTGTTTTGTGTTCATGACACAAACCAGTGGAGGTTGGAAGGATGCCGTAGTGTTGGGTGATGCTGACAATGCAAAGGCAAGAAGAAAAGTCTTAAGGTTTTCAATCCATCGAGCATCAACTCATGCTTCGCAGGAAACCACCTGCTCCACATTTCCAAGCCCTATCCATTTGACACCCGTGACCTGAAGCATGCAGGTCAATCGCACAGTGCACATGTGGGTGCGGGTGTGTGGTTTTATCTCAAGATATTATGTCTTCTCTTCAGGATGAACTTTGATGGAAAAAAAAACACATTCACATTGTTGTGTGTAGGAGTCTTCTTTGTCTCCTATCATATTTCACTTGTTAACACTTCTTCCTTATTCTCTGACCAGTCAGATGCTTGACCAGAGTGACCAGGAAGAGAGTGGGCATTATTATAGACATGGGAGGTTTTAGTTATGTTAGATTGGTATCAGAAGGTTGGGGATATAAGTTAAAATTTGTAAGATTTCTGTTTGCAGATGGTGCTTGTAAATGTGTGAATGTCGTCTCTATTTCCATTGAATGACCAGTCAGTTTTGGTTGATGCAAAAGGAAAGGTGAACAGTATCCACGATGTTAGTTCCATTTAAGGTATCCAGAATGTTTGGGGAACACCCCACATCTGCACAAGAAAGACAGCAAGGGAGCCATACTGTGGTGACAGTCAAGTTACAGTCAAGGGATCCTGGCTTCAGGGAAGGGTCCTAAAGCCTTTCCCTGGGTTTTATCGGAAGTTTATAACCTCCAGTTGTATAACTAATCCACGAATTATTTCTGTATAAATGGGTTATCTTGCACAGTTGCCTACAGTGACAGTCACCGGCCTCTTTTCTGCCTGACCACATGACACTGTGAAATCTCCCTTAGATCATCATGTCACTGCAGAGAAGATCTAAATACAAGTATACCGTAAGGGTTTCTTGTGCACTCCTTCTACCAGGTTATATGTGATATAATGAATGAAGTGGGCTTCTTCAGTGGAAGAGGCCACTGGTAAGCACATCCTTAGAGTGATTGTTAATTATTCCCACCTTGTTTGCTAAACAGAAGATTTTATCCATAAGAAACAATTTTCATGACCCTATGATAATTCAAAGACCTTGAACCAAATACGTAGATGCTTATTGTCTTCAATGTATGGAGCATATGAGAGCTTTACAAAGCTTATTTTAAAAAATGAGTTGTAGTTGTAAGGTGGGGGGTGGCCAAAGCCCCACTTGTAAGTGAGGGAGGAGAATCAAAGGAGAAAACAGATGGCTCAGGTGCCGTGGAGTGTCTGTGTCTCCAGTGCGTTACACGCCACTAGAATGGACGCTCTGTGAAAGACAGGCTTTCTAGTGCCCATTGCTGTATCCTCAGTGCTTGGAAAATGCAGCATGTACTAGAGAGTTAATAAATTATATTTATGTGAATAAATAGTGAATATGTGACTTACACAGAAATGAAATTGAGATTTGGTACTAAATGGTGCTTGGAGGAGTGAATTGGTTATTAAATGAATATTCTGGTGTTATTCTTGGTATTGACTCTTGAAGCCCCTCATTAGTTCCTGGTCCCACGTGGCCTGTCCCCACTGAGGGAAGCATGGGATTCTGAAGGCAGGAGGAGGGGGCTTCTAGGGAGTCAGCTAGGCCGGGAGTGGGAAGAAGTAGATGCCAGAAGTAACCTCTCACACACGCCTGCTCATGTGCACACACGTGTACACACACACACACACACGCGCGCAGCCTGGCGTAGCCTGCGCTCCACCCTGCCTCTGCTGGTTTGTCATGATTTCAGCCTCTAACTTTTTATGATTTTTTATTTGTTCTTCTTAGTTACATGTGACAGTAGGATATTTGACACATTATACATACATGGAGTATGACTTTCAGCCTCTATTTTGGTCCCCTCTTTCAATTGTGAATTCCTCTCAGTCCCTCACCTGCCAGAGTGAACCTTCGGTGTCTTTAGCCACTGCAGTTGCTTCTGCTGGCCTAACTCTCCAGCTCCTTTATACACTTTTCCTGTAGCTCTTAAGAAAGGTCATTTTGTTATTTGAATTTAATGGTGTGAATGAAATATGATGAGAAGAGTTTGATAGATTGATTCAAACTCCGGTATTGACCAAAGGGGCTTGGATCACAAGATATGAGCTCACATACTCTTCATGTGGAAGCATTGTTTTCTTGTCAGATATTTTGGTCACAGTGAAGCAAAAGCTAACTAATGCAGAAATTTAGAGGACAAAAAGTTTATCTGAGGCTCACAGTTTCAGAGGTCTCAGTCCATAGATGATCACCTCCATTGCTCTGGGTCTGAGGCGAGAAGCTGCTCACCTCTTGGCAACAAAGAAGCAGGGGGCAATGGGAAGGGGCTGTAGGAAAGAACAACGCTTCCAGACCACGCCCCAGTGACCCGTTCTCCAGTCACTCCCCACCCGCCTACAGTTACCACCCAGTCCATTCAGAGTGGACTAATTAGGTTACAGCTCACACAATCCAATCATTTCACCTCTGAACATTCTAGCATTATCTCACATGAGCTTGAGGGGGACACCTCATATCCAAACCATGACACATGGCTCTGTATCTGAACTGTATCATGCACTGAGACTCTCAGCTCTGCCCTGCAAAAGGCTCAGAGAGGAGGGAGGTGGACAGCACATAACAACAAAGCAGAGTGGTCATCCTCTAGGAGAGGGACCTCAGAGGCCCAGTGGAGCCAAAGGAGACAGTGGTAACTCCCAGATGGGGAGGTTGACCATGAAGGGTGCTGCAAAGAGATGCAGAAACTAAGTCTTGAAGGCCGAATGGGAGCTGGGTGCATGCATGTGCATGGTGGGGTGCAGCGTGAGCATTGCACACGGCATCCCAGAGAGAGGTGCTGGGAAGAGTGGAGTTGACACAGCAAGCCGTCCACAGCACTGGGAGCAAAAATGTTGCTGATGGTTGAATAAGAAACCATCAGAGCATCCAGCAGACTCTAAAGTCTTGTTCCTCAAAGTGAGATGTGGTGACCAGCACCACCTGTGAGCACATGAGGAACACAGGTCCTAGGGCCCTCCCCACTCTGAACCAGAGTGGCCCCTCAGCTGGACCTCCAGGCAACTTGCATTGTGCTCATGTTGAAAATGCAGAACGGTCCTTATGGAAGGTGGGTCCTCTGTTGGAGGAGTCTGGGGCAGTTGTCAAAAGGGAAAATAGGGGCTGGGGTTGCGGCTCAGTGGTAGAGTGCTTGCCTCACATGTGTGAGGCGCTGGGTTCGATTATTGGCACCACATATAAATAAATGAATAAAATAAAGGTCCATCAACACTAAAAAATATATTTTTTTTAAAAAAAAAAAAAAAGGGAAACCAATTCTTGAACCACATAATCCTCTCTGTTTTCCACCCCAGGCATGCGCCAAGGCCACGACCATGGCACCCAGTACCGCTCGGCAATCTACCCGTCCTCTGCTGCGCAGATGGAGGCAGCCCTGAGGTCCAAGGAGGACTATCAGAAGGTAGGCCCCCTCACCTGCTGCCACCCTGACTCGGGCAGCCCTAAGGGCTGAGGGAGATTGGTTCTTTTCATCTGGAACTGTGTTCCGTTTTGAACAGCTTTTACCTGTAAACTGTCTCTTCTCGGGTCCTTTTTCATTTAGACTTTTATTACCTGGGCATGTGTGGTTGTGGTCATGCAGGGGGCCGCTAACATCCAACTGTCTCAATTCACATGTTGTCTGTGTGACTTAATAGTCATGTGCCTGAATCTTAGAAATCATGTGCAAGAGAGAGTTTCCCCACGTGACTTATGTACCGGTGATCTAGCGCACCTGCGGCTGTGTAGTAGTGGTGGCGGAACTAGGATAGCAACGGCCAACTGGCCGGATGTTGGCTACAGGCTGATTACTGTTTGAGGTATTTATAAGTGAAGGTATTTCATAAATCTCTCACTGTACCTTTCTATATATACACATAGATATGCTTAGAGGTAGGTGTATCTCTCAGTATCTTCACATAAACTTGTATGCAGTCATCTATTTCTGAGATCCTTATTTCTAGTTTTGATACATATGAATTTCTAACTTGATAATTGATTTCTAGTTTGATACATATGAATTTCCTTGGTATAATTTCCTAGGTATAATATACATACCAAACAATCAAAAATTTGCCTGTGAAAGGTGAAATGGTGAGCTTTTATGCCATAAAGTAGTCCATCTTTTCTTTCATATTTACCTTAGAACATATTTTCGAAACTGGGAGCCACAAAGTAGGGGAGACGTGGTTTTCACCGTCGGCTTCCCAGCTGAATGAGGAGGCAGTGTCTGGGCAGGTGACCAGGACTGGCCCTCCTCAGCTGTATGCTTAGATTTATTCCTAAGAGCAGGGGGGGGGGGATTCTGCCAACCTCCCGTTCCATTCATTTTCTGTTTCCCGTTCTCCCTCTTCAAGGTTGGCATTTAGTCCGTGTCACTGCATTCTGTGGCTGCATCTAATGTGAGCCTGGTGGGACCCCGTGCGCCAGCTGTGACACGACTTAGGTTACTAAGTGTAATGGTCGTCACTGGTTGCCCCCAGCGACCCCTAGCAACCAGCTTCTTCAGCAACTTCTTGATGTGCGATGTTTAGAGTGACAGTATTGCTTACCACAGAGCAGCCATTTGAACATAAAATTAGCTGATTTTATCACAGGGACCAATTGTTCAGCTAATTAGATGTGCAGTACCGCTGAGGGGCCAGAAACCAAAAGTGATTTTCCATCTAAACTGTGGTTTTCTGCAAAGCTGGCTGGGCTGTGGATCCCGGCTCGCGTGCAACCGAGGGAAGGAGGATGGCTGAAGAGGTTTGCTATTTCCTGTCAGACTGGAGGGGCAGGAAGACCTCAGGAGAAGGACCACCTTGAGGAGTGAAATTTGAACTTCACACTGGGTGTGCTGACCCTGAACGTGCAGGGTTATTCTCACCGAGCTTGACAGCTAAAGACTGTAGGGGTGTTCTTGCCTTTGGAGGAAGTCTTTGTAACCTCTCCTTAACCTCTTTTTCATATTCAAAATTTTTCCTTAGAGAATTTCACAGAAGTATTATTTGCTTATAACATTGATTAGAAGTTATGATCAAATGTATTATTATTATTTTTAAATATCAAACGTGGACAATTTACCTGCCAAGTATGCCTGTGAAACATCTCTGGCATCCTAAACTGTAGCAGGCCTGATATGGGTGGGGTGGTCAGGGATTCTCTTATCCTGAAAATGTGGCTCTTCCTCACTTAGGAATTAAATCTTTTGACCACTGAGAGATTATGTGTCTTGAAATGTGAATGTAAATTAACAAATATAAAGCTAGCTCTCTGGGCCATAGGACCTAACTTCTTCCCAACTCCTCAAGGTATGTGAGCAGAAAATACAATTCTTCTGAATATTTCTTTCATTAAAAGGGAGAAGAAAAGCAGAGTTCCTTTGTATATGTTGTACACCATACTGAGTCTTTTTTGGGGGGCGGGGGTTGGGGGTGGGAAGGAACAAGTTGGGCACAGGGAATGTTCCCGTTGTATTTAAGAAGGCCCCCTCTGCTGTCCTGTGTGGGTAGTCACAGTCACGGAGAGAGGAGAGGTTCAGTGGCCCAGGAACAGATCACGGTGGCCTAAGGTATGATATGAACATGACAGTGAAAGAGAAGCAGGGAAACTAGAGATGGAGCTGAGAGGTAGATCTGGGTTAATCTGCCAACTGGCCGTGAGGGTGAGTGACAGGCACGGATGGGGTGATTCATAGGGAAGGCTGTTGGGGGCAGGCAGAGGAGGAACACAGGGGCCTTGTTTCACTCCAAACACAACAGGGAAGCCAGGAACAAGTTGAACCCAGGGGTGCTTAACCACTGAGCCACATCCTCAGCCCTTTTTATTTTTTATTCTGCCAGCCATATTAAGACTTAATAAGACTAATACATTTCTGGATGGAGCAAATGCCAAATTACCCACTATATTTCAAATATAAAAAGTGTTGCAAAATCTGTCTCTATCAGTCTTTCTGTTCAGCCATCCACCCATCCATCTACCCACCCATCCATCACCCACGTGACTGCTCAACTCACGTCAGAGTCAGGAAGGAAAAAGAGAGAAGGAGGTGGCAGGAAGGGACCATAGGGAAGAACACACCCCCAGTGACCCACCTTCTCCAGCCACACCCCTCCTGCCTACAGTTGCCACCCAGTCAGCCCATTCAGACTAGGAAGGACTGATTGGGGGACAGCTGTAATAACCTAACCATTTGCCTCTGAATCTTCCCGCATTAATGTGAGCTCTGGGGATACCTCGTATCCAAGCCAAAATAAAGACCGTTATTTATGATGTTCACTGAAGCAATTAATTTGTAGCTTAAATGTCATATCTCACCAATGACACTCATGTTTGTGGTCCACACCACCCACAGGGCTCCAGCTCCCCACCCGTGAGTGCCTACTTGTTATTTCCACTTCCTTTTCAACAGTATATCTGAAGGCACCTTACAGCACAGCTCAAGGCCCCTGTGTTCCTCCTCTGCCTGCCCCCAACAGCCTTCCCTATGAATCACCCCATCCGTGCCTGTCACTCACCCTCACGGCCAGTTGGTCAGATTAACCCAGATTCTACCTCTCAGCTCCATCTCTAGTTTCCCTGCTTCTCTTTCACTGTCATGTTCATATCATACCTTAGGCCACCGTGATCTGTTCCTGGGCCACTGAACCTCTCCTCTCTCCGTGACTGTGACTACCCACACAGGACAGCAGAGGGGGCCTTCTTAAATACAACGGGAACATTCCCTTCCCTGTGCCCAACTTGTTCCTGGCTTCCCTGTTGTGTTTGGAGTGAAATCCAAAGCCCTTTGCAGGGTCTACCAGGTCCTGCAGTCATCGTGCCATCTTCCCATGAGACATCTGTGACTGTCATCAGAGTGCCTAAATAGTGTGGCATAGCTGAGATGTGACAAATAGTTCTGGCCCAAAGATCAAGCACTTCTAGGGGCCTCGGTGAGAACCACAGGTGCTCAAGAACTTGTGAACACCATGTAGAATTATTCCAGGTTTCCTTATATTCCAAGGTTAATTCCTGTGTGGGCCCGCTGTTGCCTTGGAGACCAAATCTATAGGTTGTGGAGTTCTGCTGGACTGGGGGTGTTGACGCCAGGAGGAGCAGACTCTCTCCTGCACCCTGGTGCTCCTGACCCCAGAGCACGCCCTCCTGACCGGGGGAGTGCCAAGGTTGCGATTGTACCCTGATACTTGCTGGGATGAAGTCAGACATTGGCCTAGAAAACAACCTCCCTTTCCTAATTTTTGCCATCTCTGACTTGTCTCCCCATATTAGTCCCTGATGGCTGTTGTAACCAATTGCCACAAACCTGGTGACTCACAACCACAAGAGTTTATTCTCTCACAGTTCTGGAGGACACAAATCCAAAAGCCGACTCACTGAGCTCCAATCACCTTGCAGGCTGGGCCGAGCTCCCTCTAGAGGCCGCAGCCGCGAACCCTTCCTTGTTGCCCAGTTTCTGGTGGGGCAGACACTCTGTGGCCTGGGACCTCGTCACTCCAGTCTCTGCCTCTGTGGTCATGTTGCCTCCTCCTCCTCTGGTGCCTAATCCTTTTCTGCCTCTCTCTAATATAAGGGCACTCATGGTTGGATTTAGCAGCCCTTGCCAGGTAACCCAAGACAATCCCCATCTGAAGGTCCTTAGTCACATCTGTGAAATCTGTGCCCCATAAAGCAAGATTCACAGGTTTCAGGGATCGGGACGTGGACACTGGGGAGGACCACTGTTCAGAGTACCACAGTGCCCCAGGACTGCTTTCCTACCTGCCACAGTCCCATATCCTTCCCCGAAGGGGAGATTGAGGCTGGGGCTCTTCCTGGCACTGTTCAGGAGGGTGTGCCATGCTCACCAGGCAGGAGCCCATCTGGCTTGCTCCGAATCCCAGGCCGCACTCTCAAGTTCCCTGGAGAGGACAGACTTGATTTCCTCCTCCTTGAGATCCTTGTCTAGTTTAAAGGGAGGTGGAAATTTGTATAAACTTATCCCCTTTCAAACATTTCTGTCTTCCAAAAGGACCTGACTTGACTCCTATACCATTTACTAAAGTAGCATGCTGAAATCACAACAGTAAAAAATCCTTAGGGTTTGGAGGATGTTTGGGAAAGGAAAGGAGAAAAGGCTTTCTGTGTCTGTGTGTGGAGGGGAGAGATCACTTGACTTTTAGATAACTGGCTGGCAAGAGTATCCTAATGCTCTCTCTTGGTCTCTTATTTGAGCCATGAGTTAATTTCTCTGATCTAAAAATTTAGACCACTGCCTTGACCCACCTTAACTAAGTGTGGATAACAAAACTTCCCTGTAGGTTCATTTTATGTCTGTATCTATATCTGTACACTGGCTTGCAGTAGTAATCAATATATATTAATCAAAGTTGAGCCCCTTTAGTTTTCTGATCCAGAAATTAGTTTTAATTATGCCAACAGAATTGAGATGAAGCGAGTCTACTCAATGAATCGTCCTGGTATAGCTGGACCTGTCTCCCCACCAGGAGGAACACATAGGACCCCTGTGTTTCCTGAGCTTCTATAGAACATGTCCTTCTTGCCCTCCCCCATCTTCCTCAGTACATTAATAATTACCTGATCAAATATTAATTATGTACTGATTAGTTGCCAGACTCGTGTCACAATTGTTTTTCACAAAGGCTACCTGAAGAAAGATCTTGTGAAGTTGGTTGTAATGAACTATTCCATTCACAGTCCCTAAAGCTCATCTGTCACAGATTTCCTAGGAGACTGTAGGGAATGCCCTAGGCACTATTCTGACAGTTATGCATTAGGTAAACTCTGTGGAGCTCCCATTTACTCAGGGCCTAGTATGGTGTTGGCTCCTGGCAGATCGTCAGCAGGTATTTGTGGAGAGATGGAGCAGATGAAGAAGTTCACTTTCTTGCCCCTTTTTATGGACTAAATATTTGTGTCCCGCTCCAAAAAATTATATGTTGGAGTGCCCCCCACACAGTGTGATGACATTTAGATACAGGTATCAGGAGTTAGATGAGGCTACAAGGGTGGCGCAATCCTGATGGGAAGACCCAATGTCCTTAAAGAAGAGACTCCAGAGTGCTTGCTCTCTCTGTCCACTCCCATGCACAAAGAAGTCCTGTGAGCAACCCGCATCCCTCTGCAAGCCACCAGAAGGGGCTTCACAGTGAAACCTACCTCACCAGCACCTTGGCCTTGGCCTTCCAGCCTCTAGACGGTGACAGCAGATGTCTATTGTTGAAGCTGCCTGGTTAGTGGCCCTTTGTAATAGTGGCCTGAGCAGACTATGCCTTGCTGTGTGTTCGTGTGGGGGGTGGGCATCATGGCCCTGGGTGAGAACGTCCAGCTGGGGCCCTGGCTTCACCTTCACCCACCATGACCTTCAATGAATCTCTGCAGCTCTAATTCCTTGTGTGTAATATAGAGAAAACAAAAACAGTGAAATTTTTCATAAATCTCCACAGTTCTCAGCACTTTCCCCCATATTATGATGAATGACCTTTGAACCCATACTGGGGGCTAGAGCAGGTTCTATTCTCTTACCTGCCCTGGGAGAAAATTAGAGCTCAGAGCGGGTCATTCACATCCCCAAGATAACCCTGACACTAAACTTAGAGAGAGTCATTTGATTGTGAATTCCACATGCTTTCACCCACACAGCGTGTAGGCACTTGGTAATCTGTCTAGCATTTATGACTCTTAGGGTGTGACTGGGCGACTCCAGAAACAAGATGGTCAGCAATGGCTTCATCTGGCTTTTTCACAGGCCTTCAAATTTCAAACCCTTGTTCAAATACAGGATCAGGGAATCTTCCTTTCAGAACTCCTTGGCCAAGTTATTTCTGTTTCTGTGTTCCCAGGGAAATGGGTAGGTTGCCTGCTGGAAGGATTCTTTCTCAGGTCTATTGTGTTCATGTCCTGCAATGTTTAAAACCAGCGAGGGAGCTCCAGAGGACTCCCGCTTCCACCAACGCTGGAAAATCACACCAGTGTAGACGTGGGTAAATGTCAGTTGACATTTTATGGTTTGGGGATTATATACCTCTTCTTCATCTTTAAAAAAAGAAAAAAATTTGTACTGTTGTTTACAGCCTGAACTTATGATTTAAATGCTCATGGCAAGTTCCTGAATAATTCAGTCATTTACCTTAGTCGGAGAGAAAAATTCCCCTTTGTATGCCCAGACATAGAGTTAGAATTCCTCTTAGACCTCTCTTAGAGCTTTGAGATTGTAATTAAGAGTATTATTATGAACTCTAAATAAGAACTTGCAAAATAAATATTTTTAAAATGCCCAATTCTGGGTGACAGGCATCTATATTTCTATATGTGCAGAGGTACAGACAGCAAGATCTTTAGCCTTAATGGTTCAGTTGCATCTGGGTGATTATTTTCATTTCCACTCATTACTGTGTGTTAGACTCCCTGTATACGAGTACAGATTGCCCTTTCTTGCACTGTATTTAGAAATCTCTGCATTACCCCTGGGCATTTGTTCATTAATAGGGGGTGGGGAGAGGAAAAGCTTGCAATAATGGACTTTACATATTAAACTGTGTGCATCCACATTCAGTCCCCAATCACAAATCTGGTTTGTGTCACTGCCCTCTGGTGGTTGCAGGCCTTCATTGCAGTGTCAGGGAAGCACTTCCCCAGGGTGGAGTTGGGCGGCAGTGGCAGCTTCCAGAAGCAAGGCAGACACGGTATTGCTGGGTAATCTGTCTTTCATTTGCATTCACTGCTTTTCATTCAAGTGCATTGCAGTCACCCTAGGATTCCAACTGATGGTAGAAGAAAACATTCTTGTGAGGGCCAAGTGACATTTTCATTTTAGTGGAGGTGTAGACACAAAAATAACCCCACAGAGTGACACTGGAACAAATGAATTCAAATTCTCCATGGGTAACACTCTAATTCATCTTTCAAGGGCAGCACAGGAAGTCCCTGTGGTATTCAAGATGATTTTAGGATGTATCCAGATGAATCTTTTAAATTTTAATTGTTACATGTTTAATATGTATTAGGAGGGTAGGGAATGTTGGAGCCTACAATTTCATGAACGTTTTTGCTCAGGTGAGGTCAGGAAATGGTACCCACACACATGCACAGCTGAGTTCTTTGTAGGGTTGCATATTCTCCTAGTCTGGAGATGGATCAAAAGCCCATGGAAGTGCATGGATAATTTGGGGCCACATGGCTGTGTCCTTGCTTGTTGTATGACCTTGCATTGTTAAGTCTGGGTTCTTGATTTTTTGAGCAGGATAACAGTGGTGTCCTCGTAGGTATACTGTGGTGTGTATGTAACATATCTGTCACAGAAGAGGTGCTCAGTCAATGCCAGACTCTTTCTGTTCATCTCAAACACCCCAGGAAGCTGCTCACAGCCAGCAGCCCTCAGCATTCCCATCATGCTTTGCTTGTGACACTTCATCAAACCCATTCTGAGAGTTTCTGTGCTGCTTCTCCCTCTTGCCAATGAATGGAATCTTCCCTGCTTTGCATCTTTTGCAACACCCCATGGAGTACTTGGCACAAAGCAGGCACTCTGGGAATGTTTGTCCCATGAATTCAGCCCAAGTGCAAAATAACTATCAGCAGCATTCCCCATCCTCCCACACGTTCAGTGCCTATCATGCCCCAGAATAGGACAGGACCTGTACCTTCCTCGGCTTGTCTCCCTGGTTCTCCTGGATTGGTGAAAAGAACCAGGTTGGGGTCGGGCCCATAGGATGCAGGCAGGGAGGGGAAAGGCCACAGTGCGTTTTGCTGCATGCCCTTAACATCACCTCTTCTCTTACTAACTAATATAGAGGTTTGTTTTATATACACGCACATATAGTCCTTAATTCCAGTGAAAGACAACTGCAAGCCGTGCAAAACATTTCAAACACAGCATTTCAGCCAGGGTCGGATCTATTTTAGAGACAACAAAAGGGCCTTTGTTGTTCAAGCAGGTAGATTTATAAGCCTTGCCCTGGTTTAGTCTATATAAGATGGCCTTCGGAATGACATGATCAGAGAAACCACCGAGAGGAGGAGGGGGACGCAGGAGCCCTTTCATTTCAGTGGCGAGAGCGTGAACTGGGCTTGCTGTTTCCTACAGAGGCGGTGCGTCTGCCTTTCAAACTCCCCTTGGTTTGTCTGGGCTCCGCGTGGTTCTGAGTTTCTCGACTCACCCAACACAGCTTCCCGGCCGGCTCCTAAATGGCCGCAGAACGCCTGCTCGCGCCTGGCCGCGGAGGCGATGTTCATTTAAGGCTTGGAGAGATCAGAGCTTTCATGTTCCCACGAAAGCCGCGAGCCTCCAGCACCTCGGGAGCGGAGATGAAAGGACATTTGTGTTTGTGCATGTGTGTTTAGAGCTTAAAGGACAGGCAGAGAAAGAAAATAGATGTTAGCGCTCCGCACTTACTTCAAACTAGGACCCACTCCCTCTGGTGGGACCATTTAACTCCGAAGGCGCCGCCCCTCCCCGCGCCCCCACCGCGCTCCCCACCCCCACCGCATTCATCGCGGCCCATGTGACATCTGTTCTGGGCACTGCCGAGCCGTCTTCTCGTTGCCATGGCAGCCGGCGGAGCGAGCCCGCCCATTGGCTGCGAGCGAGGAGGAAGAAAAGGCCCGCAGTGCTGGGGTCGCGCGTCCAGCGCCCGCCCTCCCGGTGCGGTCAGCTGCGCCCGGCCACGGTCACGCGGCGCGGCCCCGCGGGTGCCCGCGGGGAGCGTCCCCCGCCGCCGTGCGCGCCCGGGACGGCGGATGGGCCGAGGTCAATGTCATTAGCTTCTCCCTCAAGTGCGTAGCGTGTGAAGGACAAAGCAGAGCGCGCCAGGCAAAGTGGGCATCCTTCTCCTTCACCTTGAACTCCTCCGGGCTCGGGCTGCTTTTGTGGAGTTTGGGTTTGAAATTCGGCAGAATGACCCTTTCTACTCGCAGCCCTGGAAGGGTGAGAGGGCGGGCCTGAGTTGAGCCAGCTCCAAATGGAATTTACCTTGCCCACTACCTTACCCTGTCACTCTAAACGCAAAGAGGGCACAATTCCAGGGCGAAATCCACACCTGAACCTGATTGCTTTGAAAGTCGTTTTCCTCCTGGCCTCACCTCCGAATTGACCCAGGCAGTTGAATTACTGTTCTGGCCTCGAAGCTGCGGTTACTCTCCCCTGACCCCCTTGGCCAGGCCAGCCGGAGCCCCGTTCCTGATCTTGTATCTGGCCAGACGGTTATGAGAAAGCCTCAATGGGGAACTGCAGCTGTCCCCCTCAGTTCCCTCCTCCTGGGGATTCGAGGCCCTCACTGAGGAGTGTTGAGTGTCGGGGACCTATTGCACCAGCTCCACCCAGTGTCCTGACTCCCCAGAGCCAGCACCAATCCAGGGCTGGCTGTGACCGACCCCCCCCCCCCCCCCCCAGACTAAGACACTGAGCACAGATCAGCACAGTTGGGGGTGGAGAAAGAAATTCACAAACATTTTCTTATCTGTTCTTCACAGTGAGCCTGGGCTGCCAATTCCCAAGGTCACCCAATTTGCAAATGGATGAGCCTGGGATACTGGTACAGACTGAGTTCTCTGCTTCCAGGAGAGAATGCCTGCTCACGCCATTCCCTCACATGGCCAAGTAGATTTCATCCAGACAAGTCACACCCTGGCAGTGACATTGGATAAGTTAATTCCCACATCCCTTCTCTCCTCACACTTTGCAGTGCTGAGGATGGAATCCAGGGCCTTGCTGCTGGGCACGGGCTCCAGCTTGCCTCATTCTTATCTTGTCTGTTTTACATCTTTGAGAAATGTTTCATTAGTGCTTAATCTGTCACATTCAGGGTTGATGGGTTAGGAATGTTTGTGACAGAAACACATATATAAATCCAGAAACTTTACAGTACAGCAAAATTTTGTAGGAAAGAAGTATGAAGAAGACAGACCTAGTTTGGGGAATCACTGTGCCAAGGAGTTGGTTGAATAAAACACTTATGTATTATTTTTACACATATTCACACCAAAGGTTCTGGGTGGTTTTGGTAATTCATAGGGTTAAACACCTAAGCACTTGTGATAGGAAAAGACACACACACACACACACACACACACACTTTTAAAAATGTCCATTCCTGTCTGGCTTCCTTACAAAGTCATCAGTGAAAATTGCCACATGGTTACTTTGCCTGTTGTGTTTCAGACAAAATTCAATAATGCCCAAGGTAAACGAGTGGAATGAGAGAGGTGGGAGCTGGCACTGGACCAGGTGGACACGTGTGTTCTTCTTTAAGTGGGCAGCCCATACTGGGCACAGGCTTTTGTTACCTTGTGTAATGTCTTGTCATAGGTCCCAGAATTGCACTTTATGTAATAAATTACAAGTCTGTGTCTGTTTATACGTGAGATGCACAGGTTATCTTTAGCGCACATGCGAGTGTTTGTGTGTATGTGTGTGTGTGTGTGTGTGCTCATGCGTGCTCGTGTGCATATTTACTTAAATCAGTGAATTTCTAGGCAGGGCCAGTTGGTTTATCATTTAGGATTCAGGGATGCTGCAAATATATCTGGAATAAAATGGGAATTAATATCTTTCCAAAGACAGGCTGAGAAATCTTGTTCCTATAAATTGCTTCCTTTCTCTGGTGGCAGGCTAGTCAGACATGGGCCACCATTTCACAAGTATAGTCAAGAGAATAAAGAACACCAAAATTAAGACCAGTCTGTCCATGCCGTGTTGGTACAGGATTCACAGTTCAACTCACCTGTGCTCAAAGGTGAACTTCTATGCCTTTTGTGAGGTGGTGAGCTGTCAAAATGGGTCACTGCCACAGCAAGGCAGCAGCTCCAGCAGCCTAGTCACATTCAAGATGCTCCAAGGGACTGTCTGATATTCAGCCAGAGAGCAGCATTAGTCTCTATAGGTTAATCCGTGCTCATCCTGCTTCTGGAAGGTGGTTAATTTTTTCTGGTTATGATATCAAATATGGTTAAGTTTTCCTTGACAGTCTCTGGTTTGTGATTTTCTACCTGGAGCCTCACACTCCCTGCCCTCCTCCTCGGCCCCCCAGCCATGCTGAGGCTCCCTTCAGCCTCTATTCAATCCACCTGGGCACAGCCATCTTCAGGAGCATGTTATTAAAGCATCATTAGTATGCAGCAAGGTGCCCTTCTCTCTGCTAAATCACCTTGTAAAGTGGTCCTCACAAAATGCACGTTCTTTGTTATGACAGCAAGGCTTCATGTTTCCAATGCAAGCTAATAAGACTTGAAGTAGAGAGCTAACTGAGGTGACCCAGCCCATCAGGGGTGAGGGAGGTTGATAAGAGATAAGAGACATGAGTCCAAGGGTCACCCCAAGAGCAGCCGGAGAAAAGAGCACCTTCTGTAGGAGAAACAGGCAAAGGGGTGTGTGAGCGACCAGGCAGGACTAAGAAAGGAAATGAGAGCCATTGTGTGCACCTGGTGGAAAAGGATCCTGGAGATGTAGCTGGAGAGGGAAATGGCCACAGAAAGCAGAAAGTGGTCAAGAATAATTGTGGTCTGGTGAGCACATGAGCAGTTTGGAGGGACTGAGGAAACTCTGAGCAGCAGCCTGAGTGCCGTCTGCTAGCTGGAAAAACCTCTAACACCCTCCGTGGACTTTGGTGGTGCTTCCATGACTTGTACCAGTTTTTCCTAATTTCCTAATCCACCAAATCGAGCTAGTAACCCTGGCCCTGCTGTCCACTGTGGGCTGTTGTGAGGATCAAGGGAGATTACCGTGGTGCAGAGGACTATAATCTAGAAAATGCTCCCCAGGGCAAGACTTGAGCAGGATGCTGTTGTGGGAGCACAGGAGAGGCAAGTCCCCGTCCTTGCGGAACCGCATTTCCCAACTGAAGAAAGAGCCCACGCTGTTTTCTTTCCATTTTTCTATTCACGGGGGTCGTTACTATGTTCGGATGAACTAGGGTGACTTACAGCAATTGGTTGAAGGGGGCCCATAGAAGAAAATGCAGTTGAACTTTTCTTCATCACTGACCATCGCCGAGGGGACCCTGCTTCTCCAGCCCCTTAGCTTAAGATTGAAACCATAGGGGCTGGGATGTGGCTCAAGCGGTAGCGCGCTCACCTGGCATGCGTGCGGCCCGGGTTTGATCCTCAGCACCACATACAAACAAAGATGTTGTGTCCGCCAAATACTAAAAAATAAATATTTAAAAAAAAAAAAAAAGATTGAAACCATAACAAACACAAGGACACTCACTGGGGGACAGTGTTTGAACTTGAGTTTATGAAACTCTCCTCTTACAGTCCCTTCCTCAAATGTGGAGACTGGCCCTTTTCTGTGACTCTGCTGCAAAAGACAGCTCATCTCTGAACTGAGTTGGTGTCAAGAATTGCCATCACTTATGACCTAGGTCTGATTTAAACCCCCTTTGCTTGGGGTCTGTTTTTTAAAAGCCTGCATAAGCAGCATAAGGCAGTTGGATTCCATGTCCACCCTGTTCCTGCCTTAAGGTCTTTTGTTTTCTAAAGAAAGGTGATCCATAGGGTTAGTGTGAACTCCCCCACAGGTGGGGTGGTCTTCCCACGGGAGGCCAAGCAGCGAGTCCATTCTGCAGTGTTCTGCAGATTCCAGAGCCCCACCCAGACCTACAGAATCAGAATCTCCCCTGGTGTAAGCTGTACCCGTGTAGGGTACTCTGAGCCCTGGTTCACAGTTTTGGGGAAGAGCTACCTCCTGGGCCTGCTTGGTGCATGTTAAAATGCCCGGCTGCTCTTCAGCTGTGCAAAAGCAAACTGGGAGCACGAGGCTTTCTCCTCTCGCCCTCTGGCCTCCAGCATGGAGAGGGTGGCTCTTCTGCTTCTGTGTGTCTTCCAGGCATGAACTTGAGCAGTGATTCTCAGGCTTTTCAGCCTCAACACCTCTTGAAAATCTTTAAAAATTGCCAAGGATCCCCAAGGAACTTTTGTTTGATATTTGCCCTATTGCAAATTAATACTGGGAAATTTCTAAAACCTAAGCACACATTCTGCTAACCATCAGAATGATGACATCAGCTCACTCACGTAGCTTCCGGAAAACTCCACCTACACTCAGAATAACAGTGAAAAAAGGAAATATATCTCAGTACTGATATTGAGGAGCTAGGAAAGATCTGGGGTTCTTGAGGCACACTGATCTGTAGAACACAGGTCCCATCCTACTGTGCTGTTTCTCTGTGGAACACAGGAGTCAAGCTGATCGTTGAGTCACCCACCAAGAAGGGCTGTAGAGAAGGATCTGAGCCCCACCCAGTTCTCTACTTTTACAGATGAGGAACCTGAGCCCCCAAGAATGAAGTGACATCACCAAGCTCCCACAGCCTGGGTGCTCAGGTGCATTTATACCCTGCAGCGTCAGCCCACTGGGCTTATGCCCATCAGCTTAGTGGCTTAGTGGCTTAGGGCCCAGGCTTCATTCAGAGGTAGCTTGGTCCCAATCCCAGCTCTGCAACTGTGTGAGTGTGGGCAAGTCTTTTAACTTCTGTGGCCTCAGCTTCCTCATCTATAAAATGCAGAATAAACAAATATCTGCCTCATAGGCTTGCTGAGAAAAGCAAATGAGATAGTTCATGTAAATGGCCTGGCATCTTACATAAGTATCTCTCACTTACATCCAGACACATGCGCGCACTCACACGCACTCCTGCCTTAACTTCTCAGCTAACTTGTGGAGAGCTACATTCATAATATTGCAGCAATCACTAGTCCTAGAAAGTGCCACCAGTTCTTACCCATCTTATGGTCTCAACTGCTCTCTATCCAAAAACCTTCCTGTTGGCTCCACAGCGCTGCAGTGTGAGGGGATTCCAGGATTCATGGTGAATGCCTCTGTCTGTCTTCCCAACAGGCTGAAGACAGAGCTAACATGGGTCTAATTAGTTACATGTCAGACCCAACAATCCATGCTGGGTGTCATGTAGGACCGAGCAGTGTTTTCAAGGTGGTACGAAACCCTGTAATGAGCCAGCGAATGGTATTATTACAGTCGAATAAACTGAAGTCTGATTTATGATGATTAAAATTAGTTTCTAGCATATGTTTTTCCTCTTTTCCCCAAAGTGGAAGATATGTGTCTGTAGCACCAACCATTTTCAAATTGCATTCCCAAACCACTCTTTAATTGTCTACTAATCAGTTCATGGGAGAGCTCAGTGAAGGTAGGTGACCCACTTCTCCATACTTTAAAATGTAAATATAGCACTTTATTCCTTGGGGGGTCTCCTTGGTCCTCACATGCAAGCCAACAGATTTCTATTGTAAAATTGTTAGTATTGTTAAAATAGTATACTTGAATTTGAAGATGTTATAAGCAAATAACAACAAAAGGCAGAGATTTTTAAAATGATGTCCTATAAATAACTATAGTCTGTGTATCCAGCCAAATGAGATAATGTGCGCTCTATGGGCCCAGCCGTCTCAGATCCTGTTCAGACATATGTGGGTATCAATAATGAATGAATAAACTGATTCATCCTCTGTCTTGCTGAGTGTCTCTCTGGGAGATACTGCTTGTGGCTCTTGTTTACCTAAAGATCACTTTGAAGGCAGAATGCTCTGTAGTCCTAAATAGCAGCACCTTGCCTAGAGTTGACATGTGCTCCTGTCTCCAAGCCCCAGGATGGGAGCTTCTCCCTCTTGCCAAGGAGGTAGAGTGCACATCCCGAAAGACGCCGTGGTGAAAGCACCGGGCTTCCCTGTGCCTCCCACTCAGGACTGTGTGATGGAGGCAGGGGCCTCCTTCACCCAGCTGTGCAGCACCCAGCAGCTGCCCACCTCTGCTGCTGGTCCACAAAGTGGGGTTGGCTGCCTCCACCCTCAGGCAGGCACGCCAGCCCTGTCCAGTGGCCTCGAGGGTGGGGGTGGGTTGCATGGGTGACAATTCTTAGGGATGCACGTGCTAACTGCCGTGATTTTGAGAGATTCTAGAACTTGAGCTCAGGTTTTCATGTCAGGCAGGGATGACTCAGTTCACTGTGAGGGTCTCCTCCAGTGTGTGGTGGAGACTGAAGGCCTCAGGCCTGTGAGGGCCCAGGAACGGCGGTCATAGACTCGTTTCTTTGCCTTACAAACACTGTGGCTTAAAATGACCACTTCTCCTGCTTGCGCGGGTTGGCTGGAGTGTTCCCTTTTTCCCTGAGCTGCTCACGTGACTACCTCTGGAGGCGGGCCCAGGCCTCTCCCTTCTCCCAGCCCTTCCTCTGGGAGGTCCACCAGGGGCTGGCTGGCTCCGGGGTGGTGGCAGCTGGGCCAGGGCTGCAGGGCTCATCACACCTCGGCTTCCGCTGGCTAATGCAGGTCACCCCGTCAGGCCCACAGTCATCAGGGAGGGGACTGTGCAGTGAGACCAGGAGGCACAGCTCATGGAGGCTGTTAGTGTAACAGTCTCCCCGACTTGGCCTCAGTTTTCTTGCCAGCTACATGGGATTCGTTGTTAAGAATGCTTGGGGAGGGGGCGGTGCTGGGGAGCCTGGGAGTCAAGAGATGTGTTTTCTATTCCAGATCTGTCTCTGAGTGAGCGTGTGCTCTCGGGCTCCATCATCCTGTGAGTAAAGGCAAGGTCTTAGACCGAGTCATCCAAGGCCCACTCGCCCGCCCACATGCGCACACACACGCCCATTTCCATCTCCCACTCAACATGGAAATCAGATAGGATTGGAAGCTCCTGAAAGCACTAAGTTCTATGCATCACAGCATGTTATTACCAACCCTATTTATGTAGAATTCTTGTAGATATATTTTGTGTTGACTTGTCTTTGCTGTGACAAAATACCTGAGGAAAATCAGCTTAAAGGTGGAAAATTTTATTTTGGCTCATGATGCCGGAGGTACCAGTCTGTGGCCTTGGCTCCATTGCTTTGGCCCTCTGGCCAGGCATCCTGTCATAATGGGAAGTGCCTGGTGGAACAAAGCTACTCGCTTCATGAGGCCGGGAAGCGAAGAGAGAATAAAGGGGCCCTGGACAAAATGAGCCCTTCAAAGGCAGCCCCCACACTGCAGCGCTTCCTCCACTGCCCGGTCTCCTGCAGTCACCATCACCTCCCAGCAGCACCACCCTGGGGACCAAGCCCTCAACAGTTAGGGGCAGACGTGGCTTTCTTTGGCTGGACTAAGTGAGGAGCTGGGGTAGAAGCAGAACGAGGGGAGCTCTCGGTTTAATTCCTGACCGTGGGCTGATGGCTACCGGGCTTGCTGGGCTTCCCTGCTGGCCACCAGTGGTACTAGGGTGGCCTCCTGCCTGGTGGCCGCGGGTGGTGGGTCCGACTTCTGTTTTCACGCAAGCTGTTGCATCGGGTGTCTGCAGCCTCCCAAGTCCCTGGACCCGAGAAGCTGATCTTCCGTCACTCCTTGTCCTCGCAGACCCCCTGTCCAGACCCTGCAACGCTGCCTCGGCGTCCCCCACGTGCTCTCGTCGCTCCTTCACCTTCTCAAAGTGCCTGTCCCCAGGGCTTGTCCTAGCTCCTTCCCTCTTGAGTCCCATAGCGTCCTGAGGGCAGGCTTCTGCTCACCCATTGCTGTCCCCAGACCTCAGGACATCTGGTCAGCTTAGAGTTGGTCAAACAAATCTGCATCTCAAAATTACGGCTCCTGGGCTGGGGTCGTGGCTCAGCGGCAGAGCGCTTGCCTGGCATGTGTGTGAGGCCCCGGGTTCGATTCTCAGCACCACCTGTGAATAGTAGATCAATACAGGTCTATCAACAACGGTATATAAATTACATCTCCAGCCCAGGTTTTCACCTTTCTCCACAGCCTATTCCTCTTCCTCATGATGTCTTCATTCTCTGAAGTCCCAGATCCCCTCTCTTGTCCCTTCTAGGTCCCCAGTGGGTGTCCCTCCACCCTTGTTCTGGCCTCAGCCTCCTGCCTGGTCACTGGGCTCCAGCCTCTCTCTGGTCCATCTTCCACACCTTTCCAGGATCCCCTTTCCAGGATCCCGGATCTCTGTAGAAGCCCTCCATGGCCTCTAGCTACATGGTGCTGGACATATGCTCTCTGAAACCGCCGTTCACAGTGCTCCCTGCTCCTTGACATGCCCCTGGCTCCCCAGTCCAGTGGGTCCCATGATTGCTTCTAGGCCAGGCCTGTCCCTTCCCTCGCCTCTGCTGTCTTGACCACACTCCAGGCTGAGCGAATCCCCTAACACTGCCGTCTCTCCCCATGACAGTCACACGGATGCTCTGTGCTGCGTCCTCTGTGCAGACAGTGTCTCTGTTGCTGAGCTGAGCTCACCGCCAGGTACGTGCTAAACATGCATCGAGAGAAAGGATGGTTGGTGCCGCTGCCCTGAGCATCTGGAAGAGCCCTCACATCAAGTGGGCTCATACTTGAATGGATTTGAGAGTGACCGCTTCCGACCTGCAGTTGAAGCTTGTTTATTAAGTTTGCTTGTGAATCGTGAGGTCCTCTAGAGGGGAGCTGAATAAGACTTCAGGACCCTCAGTATTTACTTAGCCCCCCTTCTGAGGTTCCGGTAAACTGCTTTGTGTTTGAATAAGGACTTGGTCCCTTCTCCAGGAGATCCTCTTTCTGGGCCTGTGCCGGCAGCATGGTCGAATGCCTATTTCCCAACTTGCATCCAGAGAAAACTGGCTTTTTTCATTAGAAGCTCAGTTCGCAATACGAAGGGACCTAAATTGTTTACTTCCTGACTCATTAATATTCTGCAGTGATATGTCATGCTGGAAAGAGGGACAGGGTGGCAGAATTGGGGCCAACAGGCGGCTGGATCTGGGGAGAGGGCATGCTGAGGACGAAGTGGTGGGCATGTGGGACCACCTCGGAGACCAGCCTAGTGACAAAGAAGTGGCTGCCTGTGCCTCGTGCTGTATGAAAACGCCAGCCAGCTTGGTATCTTGGTCCCTGGATTTCCATTACCCGATGAAGACAGAGCATTCAGAGAATGCCAGGGAGCCCCAGCCTGGGAGGTGAGCACGGAGGACACCGGCCACATCTGCATAATCACAGCATTTTAAACCGTGATCAGATAAAGCAGATCATACATGATGACCAAAAATCAAAGCAGTTACAAATAAAACAGAGTGCACTGTTGTTAAAATGGCTGCAGGTTATATTCAGGAACTGTTTTTGGTGGCGTTGGCATTCCCACTGCCGCAGACTCACCTTTGCCCTCTCGGGTGGCGACCTGCCGCCCTGCTCTGCTACACTCTCCTCCTCTGGCTTCTCTGCCTGCCTTCTTGCCCTGACTCCCTCTGCCTAGTGTGCCTTTCCCCTTCCTCCCATTCCTCAGGATGGAATTAGAGCTCGACTCCCCTGGGGTTGCTTTCTCCCCTGCAGCCACAGAGGGTCCTGTAATTCTTAACACACACCACGACCTCCTGATGTACCTTGAGTGCAGGTCTCTGTGCTCCTCTGTGTGCCTCCCTTTGGTAATTCCTGAGATAAGGAGGACCCTGCCTAGGTTGCTTTGAGATCTCCCTCCATCCTGTGACCAGCAGAGGGCCTGATACTTATCAGAAGGCTAGAAATGGTAATTTAACGAAGTTGAACTAGTGGGCTGTTGAGACTCTGCTTAGCTCCAAGAGAACAGCTCTCTTCCCATTGTTGCCCTTTTAGGCCTTCTAGCCCCACTGTCTTACTCCATTTTTCATTGCTATAGCAAAATACCTGAGACAAGATAATTTATAAAGAAAAGAGATTAATTTTGTCTTTGGTTTTGGAGGCTGGAATTCTAAACAGCATTGTGCAGGCTCTGGTATGGGCCCTTGGATCCATCACATTATGGTGGCGTATGTGTGTATCCGTGTACCATTGGGGTACTTTCCTTTTTCCAGGATTCAACCATGGAAGCCCTACCTAATGACCTGATCTAATCTAATACTTCCCAAAGAGTCCACCCTCATGACCATAGTTGGTAAGCTTCCATCTTCTTCACACCATTAGGTAGTACTTAATATTCGACCCTGCCACCCACCGTCCTTGACATCTGTGGCAGGTCACTCTTGAGCTCTTGACAGGAGGTGCCTGGCTGCTAGAATGTCAGAGCCCAAGGGTTCCTAGGGGCCTTCTCACCGGGCCTCACTCACAGACTTGTGTTACCCAGCTGATGAGGTGCAGGCTCCCTCTGCCTTCACAGAAGCTTTGGAATTTAAGGAGCTGGCTGGGCCCCGAGAGCTGGGGCCTGGGCTGGGTTTCGGGCGTTTCTGTAACTAGCCGGGCCATTGGGGTACTTTCCCTTTTCCTGTTAAGATCATGAGTCACAAACCAGTGACCTATGAGTAGAATGGGGTCTGGAATCTCCTTTTTCCAAGTTTAAACATCACTGCCCTTCGACAGGGACCTCGTTGCAGCTGGCCCCGGCCCCTGCTGTCGCCCACCTCCTTGGGCTTTCCGCTTCCTACCTGCACTCTCAGGCCTTCGGGGACTTCCGTGGTGACAGTGCAGTCTCCACCCTGCTCACTTCCCCATCCGCTGTCCTTGCTGGCTGCTGAAGGCACTTAGACCTGAAATCCTTGCATGAGAAGGTCACCCAAAGCCCTTCCTGCTCTGGCATCCAGTGCACCTATTGTTGGCATGAGTTTCTGAGTTCAGTGAATCCAGAGTCCCTTAGTGTTCCACTGAGTTAGAACTCACTTATCACTAGACACGTTTGAACAAGAGCCAGAAAGTGGCCCTCAAATTTGCAGAGCAGGTCTGCTGTCCTGCAGGCTGAGTGGGCTTGCACCAAGCCCACTCACTGTCTCTGGCACAGCAGAGTGGCTTGTCACCAGGGCCAGAGCCCTAGTGCTTGATGGCTGCAGTGCCAAATGGCCCAAGACCCCAGCCAGCCTGCCCCCAAGGTTCTCTGCCTCTTTGCCTCCCCCTCCCCCTCCACAGCCTGGAGTGCTCCCTCTGCCCGTCGCTAGGAGCCCTGCAGGCCACCGCAGTAACTTGCACAGTCAGCCTGGCCAGAAGGGCTTGTGGGGGCTCCAGAGCAGCCAGAGGTCATCCGTCCCTTATGGGATGTGGCATCCTTTAGGGTGGTAGACTGTGTCTTTTAACCACCATGCAACACCATCCTTTCCTGTTAATTATCTGTGACTGCTTTTGAAGTGCTGGGAGGAGAAGCATTTAAGTTGGGGAGGGCCGGAAGTCCACCCAAGGCACCCAGAGGCACTTCACATGGAGGCTGTTTCTTCTAGTGACACCCCACGTCCACAGAAACAGTCACACCACCCCTCTTGTGCTCTGTTTACCAAAGAACATCATGTCACTAATGGGATGTGTTTTCCTCCTCAAGGTGACGTTCATCTGCATAGATGATCACTATAAAAAGACAAAGATTTCTGAGAAGACCTGGTACTTCTGAGGTCTCTGTAGGGGGAGGTTGATTACAGAACTCCCCCGTTCAGGTGAGGCCTCCCGTGAGAACACTGGCGATCCAGAGTCAAAGACCGTCGCACAGGGGCGATGACTGGGGCAGACCCTGTCGACCTCACAGCACACCCTGAGCACCCGAGTCACCTGAGCATCCTGTTGCAGTGCAGATTTGCATCCCGTAGGGCTGGCGTGGGCCTGGGGCGGTATTTCTAACAAGCTGCAAGCAGAGGCCTGGGGTCCAAGGTTACCTGGAACTTTCTCTGGACCCTGGTTCTCCACAGTAACCTTTAATGGAAGAGAACTCTGATTGTAGGGTTGTTGAGAGCGAACTGAGGGCTGAGCTATGTATGACTTCCATGTTCCTGAGCCCAGGGGCGAGGACATTTAAATAAAGCAGCAGAAAGTGTGGGTGTTTGGAGGAGGGGAGACAGGGATGTGTGAAAAGCTCCCCATTTCCTGATTCCTCACTAGGCTTCTCCTCTTTTGTGAGCTGATGCCCATGACCCAGAAAGCACACATCCCAACAAAGTTCTCCCACAGTTGGACAAGGTGGAGCTCTTGCCGAGTTCATTTAGTAAATTGGTCCTGAATCTTTAAATTGTTGTTAGGTGTAAAATCATACATCTAGAAAGACATTAAAAGATTATATAAAAGATAATGCATGTGTGTGTCCGTGAACTCCCTGGGAAAGCGTGTTTGTTGGTATGTAAGTGAGCAAATTTAGTGCTTGGAATGGGTTCCTCATGTGCCTTGGGACTACGGGTTCAGCACAGGGCAGGGCAGTGGGGTGGAGACAGGAGGGGAGGACAGGATGGGCCACGTGGCTGGATGGCTTACAGCAGATTACTTTAATTTTGGTGCAAGAGTGATCTAAGGAGCTGACTTATCAATGTGTAGAAGATTGCAGTTGCAATTTGCTGGTTAGTCTCTGTTCTTTGAATGCTTTCCTGAAGTGCCATTTTGTCTCAGTAAAATGCTCCCTAAAAATACTCAAATATTTTTAGTTGTAGAGTACAAATCAGATTGAGCTGCACATTTCCCTGGTGAGCAAAAGTGATGAGTTTGTGTTCATTAACTTGAGGCCATCTGGTGCAGACACGCCGCAGTCTGTGAATCAAACGTGCATCAAACTCCAGGGATCAGAAAGCGCGCCAGACCCAGTGTTTTGGAGAGTCAACAACAACCAGAGGGAGAAAGAGGCCTCAGCTATCTTTTTCTTTTATTTTTAAAAATCAGGGCTCCTTGCAGTGCATCAGAGCCTTCCTCTGCTCAGCTGGCGGAGCACAGCGCCGTCTCGCCGTTGCCCAGCTCCACCGTCTTTGGAGTGTGCTTCCGGAGAACTCATGTGCCCCGCGTCATCTCCGTGAGGGCAGAGGGAGGAGAAAGCACAAAGGCCCTTTCTGAATGTTTTCCTGTAACCATAGGCCAGAGCCAGCCATGCACGGTGCCCAAGGCTCGGTGAGACCCACTTATGGAAGCAAAGGCCCGCTCCAGGTAGTGGGCGCCCACGGGGCACCTCAGGAAAACCTAGGAGAAGCCCCAGCCCCGGCTAGCGTTCCATTTGGCCCTCTCACCACATATGAGTAAGTAAGCTGTGCTCTGCTGACCCCTTATGGTGTCCCAGGCCTTCCCGTCCTGCAGAGGTTGGTGCAGGAGAAGGACGCTCTGAAGGAGTGGGCTGCCGGGAGACTCTTCCAGCAGAGAAGCTGTGGTTCCTGAATTTGAAACTGGAGACTTGTCCCTGTGTTTTTGCATCCCTGGTCAGCCCTGCTGACTTTTCTGTGATTTGATGTGCTTTCCTGGGCGGCCACGGGAAGGAGATGCCATCGGGGGCTGCAGATGGAGGGAAAATGAGAATCATGACTCTCTGGCTCAGTCTCCCCACCTGCTCACTGCCCAGGGCCCAACCTGTGTGTTCTAAGATGACTGGGTTCCACTGGGAAAATCCTTTGAAACCCCACTCAGGACAATAGTAAACATAAATAAATAAACAGCTATTTTTCTATGTCTTATGTTGTAGGAAATTTTGTATTTCACTAAGCATGAAGAAAAAGAGGAAACAAAGGATTTTAAGATCCAAACACTTTCATTCTTAGGAAAGGAAGGCAGGGTGACCAGTGTGCATGAAGATCTGCCCAAGCACTGGGAAGACAGCTCACATGCGCTCCCTTTTGTCCGTGTGTTGATTTTTGAAAGTTCATGTCGCTCAGCACCTGCTGTGGGCCAGCCCCAGCCACTGTCCTTGGTGGCAGTGTTTGTAATACGAGAAGCTCACAGCTCTTTATTTTGTTTTGTGTACCTGAAGAGTTAGCACTAGAGTTTCAATGTATCATATTGTTTTTTACTTTAACGCCCTGAATGAAGATTTTCTTGTACTTTGGGAAACTCATCCTCCAGTATGAGAGAACTGAGCTCTCTGATGTCCTGTGAAGCCATAAACTGAATTCTGATGTCTTTTTGTTGGACTTTATCTCTCAGTTGGTAGAATCTGCATCAACTGCAAGATCTGATGAGTGGTACATACCAACCCCACAGGAGCAAGGACGGAGCAGGAAGGAAGAGTGGGAAGATCAGATGAGTTCTTAAGGAGTTTCATGGAGAAACAGAATTTTGTTATGGTTTTGATTGTGCAATTAATGTGTGTTTATTGAGGAAAATATAGGTAAGCAAACAGGAGAGAGTAAAAAGTGCCATGAGTATTTATTTAAACACTTTGGCATGTATACTTCTGTTTCTGTCTCTATGGCCCTAAGTACCTTAACCAATAGAATCACAGTGTACATACCTTGTTTTGTAACCTACCTTTTCAGTGATCAATATTTGATAAATGTATTTTCATACCATTAAATGTCATTTTGATACCGCCTGTTATCGGTGACGAGTTCTGCTCCCTCAAATGTTGAAGTTTGAACATTAGAGAAGGACTCCAAAGCAAGCATATGAAGCAGGGTTTATTTAAAAAGGGGTGACATAGAATTTCCCCGGGAGGGAGAAGGGGGCCATAGCTGGTACCTGATCCCAAGAAGCGAGGTGTTCTGCCCCTTTTATGTGTCCTAGGCTTCCTTTGTTCTCCTGCCCTCTCCCCCTTATCTCTGTCCTTCCTGCGTACCTGACTAGGCCCAGGAATGCTTGGTGGGGTGGCCAAAGGTGGGAGACAGTGGGCTGAAGGGGAAGGGCAGGATGGTGGGCTCAGGACACATTAATTAACAACCTTATAGCTCCCTGCAGGGAGGGGAAATCCTGGGACAGGTGACCTTAGCAATAGGTAGGAGCAGGGCAGGTTCTTGATAAGGGTGGAGGAAGGACTCTGAGGAATTAACATTTCAATCTCTCAGGGGACAGTCTCTAGCTAGCTGGGACTCACTCAAAATTGGCCTGACTCATCTGACCTGACTGATTTACCTATCTATACTGTCTGTCTGTCCAATTCTGGCCTCCATCTTACCATGTTATCTTTATCACTCTGTGGTGCCCATTGAATGGATATACCATAATTAGTGAGCCAGGTCTTTATTGTTCACATTTCCCAGTCATGAACACACTATGAGAGCGTATTTGTAATGGACTCTTCATGATCCATCCTAGTCCCTAGAATAAGCTTCCAGAAGAAGAACAACTGCACATCTAGGTGGGCAGATGTTGATGGTTTATGACGTGTGTGTGTGGATAGCATCATGTGCTTTCCTTGATGTGGCATCAACTGGCTCTATGACAACTCTTTATTGTCATCCCTACATATATTTACTTGTGTAAATATTTCCTTGTGCCTCCTTCATCAACCTGCAACACTAAGATGCCCCCGTCCTCCAGCACCCTCTCCCTGCCCAGCAGAGCTCCCTGCATAGAGTTCATGGCCACTCACATTGTCATGCCAAGTATTAATGCACCTTTGAAAAGATGCAGTGGCCATGGAAGGATGGAGAGAACACGGGGAAAAAGTCATGGTTGGAGACTCTGGGCTCTGGCACAGGCTTTATGGCTAATAGATAAGGGAATCGCAAAACACATCATCAGTTTTTTGATTCTCAAGGGTGGGGGGGCCTGGGCTGTGCAGCACAGTCACTGTGGCACGTGGACAGTTGGGTGGCTCTTGAACACAGGCAGCATTTCAAAGTCCTGGCTGGCTGCATTCCAGCTGCTGAGGCCAGATAAGCGCCCCACAGTAATGGGCAGGGTCTGTGGCGGCTGAGGCTCATGTAAGGGATTCAAACAAGAGTTCAAAATGGAACCTTGGAGATTCCTTGGAATTTGAGGTAACAAGTTCTGACCTGGCTCCCTAGGAACCGGGGTCTGCTTTTCCAGCAACAGGAAAACCGGCATCCAAAACTAGAACTGGGATTTGGAGAAATGACCTGTGCACAGGAGGCTAAGAGGAGCCCAGGTGCTGTGACCATGGCAGGAGGGTTCCAGCAGCATAGACTCCTGGGCCATTGACCTGGAGGTCCCTCAGAGGTCCAGGGAGCTGGAGCCTGCTGGGAAGGGAGGTGGCTGTGGACGCCAGCGGTCTGGACACTCACCACCACTGACTCTGGAGGTGGTGGTTCAGTGAGCTCCAGTCTCCTTGTCTTTCCTGCACACCAGCGGCTGCATCCAGGGACCTGACCAGACTTAGGTTCAACCTCTGCTCTTCTTCAGGAAGCACGTAGTGTGTGGTTCTTACTCCTCTTTCACGGGAATAGCTCGCAATGCCCGGTGTCTGGATCCATCACCCTGCGTGGGCTGCACAATGTTGTAGTTCTGACACCATAATTTTGGTTTTTAACTGGGATAATTTTTAAAGAAGCTTCCATTCATTTTCCAAATGATGATCCAGAGCCTCAGTTCTTACAGGGAAGACAGGATGAATGCTCAGTGCTGTGCTACTGGATACCTACTTTGCAGGGGAATAAGTTGATTTTCTGTCATTATTTTTTTTTTAATTTTTAAAATTTGTTTTAATTAGTTATATGTGTCAGTAGAATATATCATACATAGATGGGATATAATTTCTCATTTTTCTGAGTGTACAAGTTGCAAAATCATATTGGTCATGCAGTCACATAGATACATACAGTGAAAATGTCTGTTTCATTCTATCTTTCCTATCCCCACATCCTCTCCCCTTTCCTCCCTTCACTGCCCTCTACCTAATCTAAGTTATTCTTCTCTATTCTTCTCTAATTCCCCTCTAGCCTTATTGTGAATTAGCATCCCCATATTAGAGAAAACATTTGGCCTTTGGTCTTTGGATTGGCTTATTTCACTTAGCATGTTATTCTCCAACTCCATCCACTTACTGGCAAATGCCATAATTTCACTCTTCTTGAAAGCTGAGTAATATTCCATTGAGTATGTATACCACATTTTCTTTATCCATTCATCTATTGAAGGACACCTAGGTTGGTTCTATAATTTAGCTATTGTGAATTGAACTGCTATAAACATTGATGTGGCTGCATTACTATAGTATGCTGATTTTAAGTCCTTTGGGTATAAACTGAGGAGTGGGATAGCTGGGTCAAATGGTGGTTCCATTCCCAGTTTTCTGAGGAATCTCCATACTGCTTTCCATAGTGTTTATACCAATTTGCAGTGATTTCCTGTCATCCTTAAAATGTAACCAGTTGGGATCTTTTAAATAATATTATCCGCGTATAGATTTACACATATTTCATGGATTTTGATCCATCTTTATGGAAATTCATAATTTCCCATCTTTGGCCAGATGGAAGTTCATCACATGGGCTCAGGGGCCCTTTTATCATGATTTCAGGAGTTTTGTGTCTTGTTTGTTACCTGGTATGTGAGGATACTCTGGACTCATGTTACCTATTTCCTGCTCCAGATCTGGATCAGCTATTTCTCCAAGAAACTCGATGTGTTTTCATCAAAAACGGTGTTTCAGGACACGGGCCCAGGCTGCTTATTGCTACGGGGTTGGTCATCATTTCTAGCTTCTTCAGCGGACACAAATACACACATGTGCTGTATGTGCAATATCAAAACCTTTGTGAGTTCAAACAGATATTTCAGTCTCAGATCTTGGACTCTCAGATTTTACTTAACTAACTTTATATTACATTTGTATCTCCTTTCTTCACAACCAAGACTCCTGGTTTGCAAAGACTCAGAATAAGAATCACATCCCATAAAAAATAAGAATTACATCCCTTACTGAAAGCAGCAAAATATTTTCATATTTCTATCCCCTTCCATCTCTGGATATTTACAGTTGTACTGTATTTGTATTATCAGATTGTAAGGTCAATGCCCGCTGCATCTGTGCCTTTCAGTCCTAGTTCTCTGGGTAGCTGCATAGTTAGTACTTACAGTCCTTCTATTGATGCCAGTTCCATTGTTCTGGAGCTGATCTCCAGGTAGACTTCCCGTGAGGCATCATCCCATGGAAATAATGTTCTCTGGCTTCTTGTATGCTGGTAGCAATTCGCCTGTATCCTTTCTACTTGAAGTCAATTTTACTGGATATAAAACCCTAGCTCACACTTTTTTTCTTTTGGATCATAAACATGAGTATCTTGCATGTCAAAAGGATAAGAAAGTCCAATTTCTTCTAGCTTAAAACACTGCTGCCAAAAAGCATGAGGTAATCTGATATTCTCTCCCCTCTAAGTCATGCACTCTTTTTACCTAGATGCCCAAAGGATATTTTTCTTTGTGAAGCCCAGTGACTTTCTTAGATGTTGCTTTGGGTTGATAGTCTCAGGTATGTGATGTGCTTTTCCTGTGTTATCTTAAATCTTTTTTTTTTTTTTCAGGGAAATTGTCTTGAGTTGGACATGTTATTATTTCTCTCTTCCTTGTCCCGGTTTTGTCTTTCAGAGACTGATCTCATTCTCCATTGCTGACTCTCCTTTGCCCATCTTCAATATTTGGCTCTTCTGCTGACATCCTCTCTATCCTTTTCTTCATTGCTTTTTGTTTTTTTAAAAATTTACATCCTTTTCACCTTCCTTTTACTTTAAGCAATCATTTGTTTTATGTATTAGCTTTTGTGTTTCTTGTAGTTTAATTTGCATTTCTAAAATCATTTTGAAGTGATATTTTTTCAGGCCTCACGTCACTTTCTTAAGGCATTCAGCTCTTGGAGGAGTGAAAGCACGTGCTGTGGTTGTGATCATTCATTTGGCATGCCTTCATTATCTGTAGGGATGCTCTTCTACTCCTTTTTCTTTTCGTTTTTCCCCTTTTGGATAACAACTGGGTCTGGGATTTGACCTGAATACACAGCACCACAGAGAGGCCCCTTCTCCCACTTCCCTGACCAAGTCCCCCAAGATGAGGGTGGTCACAGATGGGAGCCTTTTTGCAAAATTTGGCTTTGATGTGACTGTATTTCGCCTGAATTTTTCGGAGAACTGGGCCCGTGTCTGTTCTGACCTTGCAGCGCCCCCTCCTGTTCCAGGGAGCACAAGCACTGTGCCGCCGGCCCTCTGAGGGTTCCCTTTCTGTTCCCTTCCTCCCCTCTTCTCTGGGCCCCACAGCCACCCCCACTTTCCTTTATGTCTGCAGTTCCTTTCTGGGGTGGAGGAGTCCTGGGACTGGGCTCCTGCCTCTTCCCCCAGGCCTGCCTGGCACGGGCGCTGGTGCAGCTATAGCTGTGATTTCCCCTGTGCTGGCCTGGGAACACCGATGGGTGTGGTTGCTGTTTTGTTCCCTGTCCATCAGCAGCCCTGCTGCCTCTCCCTGCCTTCTCCAGCACAGCTCCAGTAAAACATGCCTGGAGGCTGTTGGTGGCTCTGTCCGTTGGTTGGTTGGTATTAGGGGTTCATCTGCTTTTGTTGTGAGTGTTGTCTGTGAGCTGTTGGTTTTGCATTTCATTTCTCTATATGCTTTTTTGTGAGGCATTGGGAAGATGTTACTTAGCTGCCATC